CTCTGAAAACAGTACTTGGGGAACACATGCTTTCAGGGGCCACTTGTTGTGAGTGGCTCTCCAAGGTTCTGCAGTTGTAGACCTGAAATCATTGCTCCAGAGATCACTTCTGAGCAGGACAACTTGTGCTCCTTTGTGTTTGTGCGTTATTTTGCTAAGACCATAGTCTGATGTCTCACAGTCCACCATTCCTACCTTTATGGCCTTAACATGGGTTGATTCCAACCATTGTACCCATCCCTTATTTCACTGATTCTCAATCTTGCTTATGAGTCATGGTGTTAGAAGCATGTGTTTGTACCACAAGACATTTATTTCTGTCATAGGAACAGCATTACCAACAAAACTATGGCTGTCAATTATCTATGCAGAATACAATCAGAAAGACCCACAAACTTCTCTAAGAAGAAAAATAAAGATGCCAAGCATTATGTGAAAACTGGTTATCACCTGTCTGTTTATCAATTTACTTTGTTGTCTAAGCTCTGAAGATCCAAGACTGACAGGAGATAAAAAAAAATGTTCAGGGCTGGGAATGTGGCTTAGTGGTGAAGTGCTTGCCTAGCATGCATGAAGCCCTGGGTTCGATTCCTCAATATCACATACACAGAAAAAGCTAGCAGTGGTACTGTGAGTCAAATGGTAGAGTGCTAGCCTTGAGCAAAAGCAGCTCAGGGACAGTGCCCAGGCCCAGAGTTCAAGTCTCAGGACTGGCAAAAAAATTGTTCAAGCTATTAAATGTGAGTCAGGTACTGGTAGCTCATACCTATAATCCTAGCTACCCATCAGGCTGAGATCCGAGAATCATGGGCCAACGTCAGCCTGGGAAGGAAAGTATGTAAGGCTCCTATCTCCAAGTAACCACCAAAAAGCTGGAAGTAGAGCTGTGGTTCAAGCGTAGAGCACTAGCTTTGAACAAAAATATCTCAGGGACAGCATCTAGGTCTTGAGTTCAAGCCCCAGGACTGGCACACACACACAAAAATTAAATGTGAAATCATATCTATTTGCTTATTGCATATTACTTAAATTGAAAATATCCTGGAAATCATTGTCCCAGTCCAGTTACCTCCTTATAGAGGTCCCTAATCCCCAGTTTGTATTGTTGTATTATTTTTCAAATAATTTTTAAATATCTAATGCAGAGGCATGTTATCAAGTCATAAAAGTGTATATGGTGCTGCAGTCTCCCAGTAGTCCTCCTTAAAGGCAATCACCATTGCCAGTGTCTGTTTGTCTTTCCATAGGTTTTCTACAGCAGCACTGTCAATAGACCAGAACCATGAAAATGATCTGCTATGCTAATATGGTAGCCATTAGCTAGTGACATGTTGCTGTGCTGCACTTGAAATGTGGCTACAGTGACTTAGAAGCTGACTTTCATGAGCTCTTGGAGTCTTTGTGATAAATGAGTGAACCTGAATTTGATATGTAGCCAGAGAGTCAGAAGCATGTGTGATAAAGGGCATTTGTGACTGGTATCTGACATAGGAGCAGTTTTGTAAGACTTAGCTGTTTGTCTGAGTAGTCTGAAACTAACTACAGTTAAAAGCAAAATTGAGTTATAGGAAACCTATCTAATTGCTTGGTGTTGGTCATGCCATCAGTCCAATTTGATATTAGAAGTATAAAAGAGGGCTCAGTGGTAGAGCCCTTGCCTTGCATGCATGAGGCCCTGGGTTCGATTCCTCAGCACCACATAAAAAAAAAGAAAAAAAAACCAAAAGTGGCGCTGTGGCTCAAGTAGTAGAGCGCTAGCCTTGAGCTGAAGAGCTGAGGGACAGCGCGCAGGCCCAGCGTTCAGGCCCCATGACCGGACACCCCCCCCCCAAAAAAAGTATAAAAAAGGTGTTTTTTTTTTATATGCAAGTACTTTAAAAATATGTCCACGTATTCTCTGAACCTTCTTTTTTCAAAAGGCATAATTTATGGAAGTGGCACTGTGGCTCAATTGATAGAGTGCTAACCTTGAGCACAAAGCAGCTCAAAAGGACAGCACCCAGGCCCAGGCCCAGAGCTCAAGCCCCAGGACTGACAAAAAATAACAATAATTTAAACCCTCCCCTGAGTAAGGGAGGTATGGCTCAATCATTAGGGTACCAGACTAACCAAAAAGTGAGAATGCAAGCCCCAGTTCAAGCCCCAGGACCAGCACAAAAATAAATCCTTCACTCTTTGATTTGGACTTGATTTAGTGAGTGGATTCTATTCGTGTTGAATGCTAGAAGGGTTGCCATGTGCCTTTCTTAGACCAGGTTATAACAAAGTCTCTCTTTCTAGGCACCTGTTATTCTAGCTACTCAGGAGGCTGAGATCTGAAGATTATGGTTCAAAGCCAGCCTGCATAGGAAAATATATGAGACACTCATTTCTACTTAACCAAAAAGCCAGAAATGAAGCTGTAGCTCAAGTGGTAGAGCACTAGCCTTTAGCAAAAAAGGCTCAAGGACAGGGCCAAGGCCCTGAGTTCAAGCCTCATGACCCCCCCCCTCACTCGCTCACTCACACACACACACACACACAGTCTCTGTATGTGTCTCTGGAGGAGGCTAGGCATCATATTGTGAGGAGATTCAGTTAAACAGAATTTGGATGGGCTTATGTGAGGAGGACTTGAATCCTCCCACTTACAACCAGCAGGTTTTCCCAACTGTAGGAAGGAATAGGCCACCTCACAGGTGGATCCTACAGCTTCAGACAAGCCTTCAGGTGACCAAGAAAATCAAAGCTGGAATGGCTAAAACTACTAAATTACTGTTTTATAGAAATGGTGTAGAATGGACGTTTGTTGCTTTAAGCCATTGTTTGGGGGTGATGTGTTTCAGTGCATCAGATAATTGGTATACTATCTGATGCAGGGGGTGAGTCACATTGAGGACCCTAAGCTTCTCATCACAGGATATTCCTGTGCACAAAATCCCTGCCTATTATCAAATAAAGGGGACACTGGCAACAAAAACTATAAATGGAGGCTCACTGGCAGGTATTTAGTCTTCCAGGTTTTCGGGGAACATGAGTCACGCAAGACTTACCAGAACTGTGGATACTAAGGCATTTTTCTGTAGGGAGGGAGCCAGTATTGGAATACATGTTCAGACGCCCATAGTAACCGGAGCCAGTATTGGAATACATGTTCAGACGCCCATAGTAACCGTCTATGCCACTAACAGAAATGCTGCTGTTTGGAAAGATGATCTTAATAGCAAGGAAAGCCCTAACTTTCCCTTTGTGCTCATTTATTTATTTTTAGTCGGTTGTAGGGCCTGAACTCTGGGCCTGGGTACTGTCCCTCAGCTCAAGGCTAGCACTCTACCACTTGAGCCACAGCACCTCTTCTGGCTTTTTCTGCTTATGTGGTGCTGAAGAATCGAACCCAGGGCCTCATGTATGCAAGGCAAGCGCTCTACCACTGAGCCACCTTTCTAGCCCTGCTCATTGGTTCTTGCTTAGGGAACAAAGCCTCTATAAGATTATACTTTTTAGTAGTCAGTAGGTAGGATTTCCATACTTGTTCATTTTGTTTTTCTTATGAAAAACATACATATGTCACATACAAAATGACTACTGACTTCATCTTTGAACGTGGAGTGGAAGAACCCTTGCATCCTCTGAAAATTACCAGCTGGAAGCACGCAGCTATCTCTGTGTTGGGCAGGGCAGGAAGTATATAGATGTGGAGTTGGGTGGAACTGGAGAGAACTGAGCAGCACACGTGAGATTGGTGGGATTAGAGGAGGCTGAAACAGCCCTTGTGAATGGAGAGGTGGCCCCACAAATATGTTCTAGTATTAAATCCTGAAGAAGGTAAACTTGGGAAACTGTTGTCCCCGCACTTTCTCCTTACTCTATCCCTTACACCTGTAATCCTAGCTACTCGGGAGGCTGAGATCTAAGTATCTAGGTTTGAAGCCAGTCCCAGCAGGAAAGCCAAGGAGACCCTTATTTCCAATTAACCATCAAAAAGCAAAAACAAAATCCAAACAAAACTGAAGTGTAACTGTGGCTCAAGTGGTAGGTAGAACACTAACTTTGAGCAAAAAAGCTCAGGGACAGTGTCCAGGCCCTGAGTTCAAGGCCCAGCAAAAACAAACAAACCCTAAAACCCTAACCAAAAAACACAAATTTCCAGCAGCTCATCTGGGTGGAAGAACCACCTGAGTCATGACACATATTTTCTTGTGAATTTGATGGCTTGGGAAAAAAGACAATACTTACTTCCACAGTGCAACAGGATCCAGAGATCTAAAGCAGCGAATGTGGCTTAAAGATGGATGATCCCCCTGGGAAGCTCATAACAATTACTGATTCTTTTTTGATGTTTTAGAGATTGAACTCAGGGCCTACTATTTGAGCTACAACTCCAGCTCCTTTTTCCATTTATTTTTGAGGTATGGTCTTGCTTAGTGCATGGACTAGTCTAGGCTTGGATTCTATTTGTGCTTCCCTGTTTCCCTAGGCATCACAAGTGAGTACCACGTCACCCAGCAATTGGGTGAAATGGAATCTGAAAATTTTTATGCCCAACCTGGCCTTGAACCATAATCCCTTGATCTCTAGCTCCCAAGTAGCTAGGATTACAGACCTAAGCCACTCTGTGCTCAGCAGGGAAGGACTAGTTTTGATAAACCAGAAAAAATGGGATTTGGCTTAAAAATCCAGACATATTCAAGGTAAGTTTTCTGGTTCCCAGAAGCTGAGGGCAGGATGTCCTCTTTGGTGGCCACCTACACAGCCACTTCTAGAAGCCACAAAGGAGTCCAGCAGCAACCCTGCTAATCTCACCTATGCCCTTGATATGCACACATACGTATGTATTTATTTAAGTCTGAATTTCTTACCACATAGGTGGAATTAGTTAGAAAATTTCATATTTATTACTAATATTTTAATTTAATATGAAATTTTAATATTAGAAAAATAGTTAATAAGCAGTGCTGAGAGGCCAGTGTCAGAATGTAAGTTTCGGGTTGCTGAGGCAGGAAGGATTACACCGTTACTTCCTAAACTGCTTCACTCTCTTCACCTTCAGGGGCAGAATCTGTTGGGATCTCTATGATGACTTCACTTGGATTCCTGGCAGAAGAACAATATGCTAAGCATTTAGACTTCAAGGGAGCAACTGGACTTTCTCATTTCCTCCCCTTGTTAGCTAGGATTCTTAAATCATTCCCAGGCTTTACCCTTTTTTCTTCTTTAAAACCTCATCCTCATCAGAAGACTCCAGGTCATGTAGCTTCTTGGCCATGTTTTTCTTGCGTGTGGCATTGAGAGGTCTATACATATCCCTCAGCCAAAGTGGCCGCTTTAACGAAAAGAAGCCCTCCTAGGAAAGATGAGGGAAGTATATTAATTATACTTTTGCTTGCCTTTTCTGGCCATGGCACCAAGTCCTCCTCAACTTAACTTGCCTGACTTTCATTTTCTGATGAGCATCTCCTTTGCAGAAATCCAAAAAAGCTTTTTGGAAAAAACACATGCAGAATTAGTGAGTCATGCTATTTTCTGTGTCTCTCACAATGTACATCTCAAGTCTTCTTTTTCTTTTTTTGGTACTGGGGATCAAACCCAGGACGCTGCAGTTGCTAGCCAAGAGCTTTGCCACTGAGCTACATCCCAGCCAACATCTCAGGTATTATTGAGAGAAACACTTGTGCTTTGGTCCACAATCACAATGTACAAAGGGTCCCATTACTGGATGCCTGAAAACAATTCCATGTATACAGGCAGGGCTGGCAGGAGCTCTCCATGCCTGTCCCAAAGTCTCTACAATGCGTCTAGGGAGAACTTTGTATGTAACCTGGCCTGCAGCAGAGCAGGATTGTCAGACCCACTTATCCTGTCAAAAACCCCTGTGCATAAACAACTGTACCACTATACTTGTCAGAAGCATTTACTCTTTCCAGAGGCTTTCACTTCAGTCCTCTTTGGACTTAGCCTTTCCTGTGCCATTTGCTGGGGTGAGGAAAGGGGGATGGGAGAGGAGAAAGGTGCCCTTGTTCTCTTAGCCACTTTATTTTACAAGTTGAATCACACCAAACTAATGTCTGAGTCAAACTTCTTGAGTTGTGTGTCATTCAGAGATTTTCTTCTCTAAAAGGCTTTCGTGATAAATGAATCATGTCTAAGGACATGATTAGCACAAGCACAAACACAAACGATCTGTGGATGTCTCTGCAGTATTTGTTGTTTTTTTTGGGGGGTGGGTCCGGTCGTGGGGCCTGAACTCTGGGCCTGGGCACTGTCCCTCAGCTCTTCAGCTCAAGGCTAGTGCTCTACCACTTGAGCTACAGCGCCACTTCTGGCTTTTTTCTTTTTGCTTATGTGGTGCTGAGGAATCGAACCCAGGGCCTCAGGCAATCAAGGCAAGCGCTCTACCACTGAGCCACCTTCCCAGCACTCTCTGCAGTATTTGTGTACTGACTTGTTATATGAAAATGTAACCACAGTCCAATCACAGAGTAATTAAGAAGGAACCTTCTCCTTCTCCTTCTCCTTCCCCCCCCTCCTCTTCCCCCTCCCCCTCCTCCTCTTCTTCTTCTGAGCCACAGCACCACTTCCAGTTTTCTGTGGTTTATTGTAGATAAGAGTCTCATGGCCTTTCCTGCTCGGGCTGGCTTTGAATCCTGATCCTCAGATCTCAGCCTACTGAGTGGCTAGGATTACAGGCTGAGCCACGGCTCCTGGCAGAACCATCTTCTTCTGACACCCATTAACAGTGTGATACTTTCTCCTTCTCCATTCCTTATCACCAAATGAAAAGGTGAACCAATGTCTAAGGTCTCAATTAACTAAAAAATTCGGAGGTTTCTGATTTTTAAAAAGTGGGGATGAGAAGGTAAACAGTAGGATGAAAATATAGTTTTCTCCAGCACTTTACAGAAAGTACTCATCTACTCTACCTTCCACCAGCTCTAAACCCTAACACTTCAGTGCTTTTCTATCCTATCTCCAAGGCTTCTAAGGAAATGTCTGGCTGAGCCTTATGTCCTTCACGAATAAAACCAGGCACGGCCCAATCCTCTCACCCTCCACTCTCCCTGAGGGACCCACGCTAGTACAGACTGCCTCTGCCGAGGAACTGCTTTTGCTGGAACCATGCAAGACTCTATGGGAAGTAAATATCCTTCTTATCATGTGTAGTTTCTTCATTATAAGGTTGGATATGGAAATGAATGAGTTCTAGGCTGTCCTCTAGTTTTTAGATCCTCATTGAAAGATTTCCAGACTCCTATGTACCTTGAGGACCCATTCTCTTCCTCTGTTGCTGTTCTGTGGGAATAAATCTGTTTTGGAAGAAAGCACAATCATGATTATCCACCATCATAACTACTGTCCAACTATCCATTATTTAAGTCTTAGCTAATATTTGTGTGTGTGTGTGTGTGTGTGCCTGCCCTAAGGCTTGAACTCAGGGCCTGGAAATTATCCCTGAACTTCTTTTACTCAAGGCTAGTGCTCTACACCACTTGAACCACAGCTCTACTTCTGGCTTTAAAAAAAAAAGTAATTAGAGATAAGTCTCACTGGTAGCTGGGTGATGGTGGCTCATGCCTATAATCCTAGCTATTCAGGAGGCTGAGATCTGAGGATCATGGTTAAAAGCCAGCCCGGGCAGGAAAGGCCATGAAACTCTTATCTACAATAAACCACCAGAAAACCAGAAGTGGTGCTATGGCTCAAGTGGCAGAGTGCTTGCCTTGAGCTGAAGAGTTGAGGGACAGCACTCAGGCCAAGTTCAAGCCCCCATGACTGACAAAAAAAAAAAAAAAAGAGTCTTTCCTGCCCCAGCTGGAACTCCAATCTTCAGATATCAGCCTCCTTCCTGATTATAGGCATGAACCACCAGCTTTGAACTAACTTTTCTTTTTTTCCTTTTTTTTGCCAGTCATGGTGCCTGAACTCTGGACCTGGGAACTGTCCCTCAGCTCTTCAGCTCAAGGCTAGTGCTCTACCACTTGAGCCACAGCACTACTTCCAGCTTTTTCTGCTTATGTGGTGCTGAGGAATCGAACCCAGGGCCTCATGTATGCAAGGCAAGCACTCCACCACTGAGCCACCTTCCCAGCCCATGAACTAACTTTTCTGAGCTCAAGTATTCTACTCTATTAATAGATCTTTGTTCCACAGTACATAAATATATATGTATGTGTGTGCATTTGTATACATGCATACATATATATAGGTGTATATATATATATATATATACATACACACACATACACACACACACACACACATACTGACACAAAAAAAGAAGGGAGAGAGATATAAGAAAGTCAAGGAGGGCTGGGAAGGTGGCTCAGTGGTGGAGCGCTTGCCTTGCATGCATGAGGCCCTGGGTTCGATTCCTCAGCACCACATAAGCAAAAAGAAAAAAGCACCACATAAGCAAAAAGCAAAAAGCCGGAAGTGGCGTTGTGGCTCAACTGGTAGAGCGCTAGCCATGAGCTGAAGAGCTGAGGGACAGCGCCCAGGCCCAGAATTCAGGCCCCAGGACCGGACCCTTCCCCAAAAAAAAGAAAGTCATAGAGAGGATGAGATTGAGTATATACATGGAGAGATATATCACAATGAACTAGGGTGCACAGCTATTTGGTGTATATATATATTAATGTTACATGAGGTAAGGCAAGCTCAAAAAGCTAAATGTGTTTACTTATATGTGAAAGCTAAACCTAAAAACATACATATTTGTCGACATGTACATATATACATATCTGTGCATATGTGTGTATGCAGATAGAACATAAATTCTAACTATGGGATTATTTAGGACAATGAGAGAGAGATGGAAAAAATGAGGATGAATAATTTTGAAGTACAGTGTTACTGTGTATGAAGATGGCATAAAGAGTCTCAGTGAAAGATGTTACTTGATAGGTGTTTGGGAGGGTAGACAATCAGAAGGCAATAGGATTAATCTGGGCAAAACAGAATTATGCACATGTCTGAAATACCATGATGAAATCCCTTGATGCAATTTTAATACTCTCTGATAAAGGAAAATGAATGGCAGGAAACAAGGCTTTGTTGGGAAAAGCACCTGCAGGAGGGGACTGTGCTAATAAGGAGGGTAAAAGAGGTTGACTATGTTAAAGTAGTTTACTTGTGTATAAGAAAATAGAACAAAAAAGCCCATTACAAAAATTGGGAGTTTTTTTTTTTGGGTCCGGTCATGGGGTCTGAACTCTGGGCCTGGGCACTGTCCCTCAGCTCTTCAGCTCAAGGCTAG